GTTGCAAACCCGGGCTGCTCTTTACCATATTCTCTCCTCTAACAGCCAGGAAAATGACAGCTCTGAAATAGAGAGCCAGATGTGCTGAGCAGTTTGGCTCCCCCAAAAAAGCATCTAGGCATGGAGAGCAGCGTTCGAGGGGCTCTCCGGCCAACTTTGGGGTCCCTCAGCCATCCATCTGCTTCAGCCATGGGTTTGAAGTTTCGGCAGAGGCGTGTGGACCCCCTGAGCACCGGCACCGCGAGCCTTTAGGAAAGGGGCTGTAAAACAGAGTGCAGCTGGCTTTTCTTGGTGGTGGTTTGATTTCTTTCTTCCCTGAGAAGGCTGGAAATGCTCGAGGCTTTTCTGAAAGGAGTGTGAACTCCTTTTGCTAGTTGTGAACTCTTTTTGCTAGGAAAGGTCGGGGAGAAGCATCTCCATCCAGCAGCCGATGCCGCATCTGCTGCACCCCATCCCCAGGAGATGTCCGTCCTGCTCCCTGGAGCTCCTCAGGGCTTCCAGCTAAGGAGGCATCAGTAGAAAGCAAAGAGCTTCGAAAGAACCTGAGTTAAGAGTTGTCCTCCCCTCTCTTGGGGGTGTTTCAGCAGTGCTGTGCCCTCCCCGAGCACCCGTGGCCGTGGCGAGGGGCAGGGCAGCGCCTGGGGCTGCTGGCTGCAACAGGGATGGGGAGCTGCCGTGCCTGGAGCATCCCAGATCCCAGCTGTACCCCCCACCCCTCCGGCTGGGTCCTAGGCCCAGAGATTGTGCTGGAGCTGCTGAATATTCCTATGTTCGGGATGAAGGCATTAGCCGTGCTGATAAGCGTGTCGCCTTCATCCAGGTGCCTCGTACCTCGAGCTGCTGAAAGCAAAGCTCTTCAAGGTGGAAGCGCTGATCCTGGGGCTGAGGACGCCGAGCTTGAGATACAAAATCCTGGCGAGTTATCCTCCCAAAGCCTTGTTAAGTCTTTCTCTCCGAACACAAAGCTTTTCCTGGAAGGAGGGCAAGGGGACGAGACACTATCTGCTGGTGAAGCGGCGGAGGGAGGCTGTGGGAAATGGTTGTGGAGGATGCGACGGAGCTAATGCAGCGTGGTAAATCACTGCCTGCCCTGCTGGCAGCAGCGACGTGATGTATACGAGGATTTCGTTTGCATGGCGTCGTTTTGGGAACGGTCCTTTTCAAGAAACAACGCAAATAGAGCTGCATGGCTCTGGGGGTTTTCAGCCCCTCTCAGCTGGAGCCAAACCTCATCTTGTCTGGATTTGGAGACTCCGTACGCCGGAGGGATGTTTGAAGACCTTATGCAGGCTCTCCTGGGGCTGCGTTGCGAACGGTCCTGCTCCAAAGCCCTGCAACCCTTGTCCACCCAAACCATTGCGGTAGGGATGGGTCCCGTGTGCCGGACACGGGCGTGTGGGCAGCAGAGATGCTCTGGTGGGTTTTGGGCAGTTGCAGCTTCAGCGTGACCAGAGGAACAGAAACAAGCCTGCAAAATCCACCCGTGGGCACGGCCCCGAGCAGCTCTATGGACCCGGTGGCTTCCAGATGTTCCAGCTGAGCGTGGGGTCCAGCGGCTCCAGGACTTGCACCCACCGGAGAGCCGTAAAGCGCGTGGGACCGGGACTGCCTGAAAACAGGGGATTTTTCAATCTCTTTTTCCTCTGCTAACCCAGATACACAAGCAAGACCTTACAAGGAGCTGTCTGCCGTGGCTTCCCAAACCCTAAGCCAGATGTGCAGCCGGTGTGCACTAACCCCTTCCCTGCCCGGTTCTGCGGTACCCCTCGCCCCTGCCCATCCTCTCTGCCTGGCTCTCCCTTCGTTCCGACCCACTTACAGAAGGTTAAAAAAAAAAAAAAAAGGGATTAAGGGGGGTTCATTTCTCTAAGAGCAAGTTTTCTGATGTGCTGGTTTGGGGTTTGGCCACCCGTGGTACAGCCCGCTTGGGTTTTGGTCCGTCTCTCCTGACAAGGACAGCGGCAGCAGCATGGAAAGACTTTTCCATCACGGGAGGTGATCAAAAATAGCTGGGATGGCACCTTTGCCCTCTATAATTAATTTGATGTTCTCTTTTAGGCTTTAATAAGCACGGGGGCCAGCATGGTTGGGCAGGTGTCATCTTCCTCCTCCCTCTTCTTAATCCTCCATTAAATAAGTTATCAGCTTGGGGCACTCCTGACACCTCCAGGCTTCCCGTGAGCCGATACTTTTGCCTCATTAACTTTCCCAAGCTGCTTCACTTCACAAGAAATACTTTTTTTTTTTTTTTTTCTTTCCCCCTCCATTGTGCCGTGTTTAATTTTAAAGGCATAAAAATAACCTCTTGCTGGCTGCGTGGTGATGAGCTGAGCTGCGGGTCAGGGATGGGGATGTGCATGGAGCCGGGATGCTCAAGTTTAGAAACCTCTTGATCCTCGAGCCCAGAAGTTCACTTGATGCTGTTCCAGCAGGGAGACAAAAAGAAAGAGGAGGATGTAGGAAACGGGTCCCTTTTGTTAAATGGGAACAATTCCAGTGAGGTACCAAACATGTCCTCAAATCACCCGTCGTCGTTACCTGGGATAGTCTCACTGGAGGAGGAAGCTGGCAGGAGGCTTGGTGAGGTCTCTGACAAGGAGAGGAAACTGGAATTGATTGATTTTCTTATTTTTAACAGTGTGAGTGAAGCTCTGGATACTTTCACAGGTCCTGGGGCCTCTGATGACCCTGTAAGATTTAAAGGATTTGGGGGAGCAGGATGCCACACAGCAGGAAAGCCAGGAACCCTGGGCTTCAGTGGGGGGGAGCGGCTGGAGAGGCACTTTGGGAGGTGGCACAGGGGGGGCCCTGCCCCACGAGCCGAGTCCCAGCACTGCCAGGGCTGAGGACACCAGGGAGGCCAAAGGGAGTTTGGACTTGTCCAGGCCAGCTGCAGCCACCGTCCCCGAGGAGAGGAGGGGCTCAGGGGGTGACCAAGAAGTCCCCAAAGCTCACAGGGCTGGCTTGAAAACAGAGGTTGGTCCCGCTTTACATTGGCTTTTAAAAATGTGATTTTTTCTTATCGACATGAGTGAGCTCTACTACCTCCCCTATGCAAAAAAAAGAAAGTTTCTTTCAGTGCCACCCCCTGATCTCGCCGGGCAATTAAGGAGGTGGCTGACGAGCCCGGGGCCGCGGCGGTGGGGCCGGGGGATGGGGTGGGGCTTCACCATTTCAGTCGCAGCGTTGCCCCGGGGGGAGCCGGGCTGTAGGATCGGCCACGGTTTCTCTCAATTACCACCCATATGGCCTCGTTCCAGCAACAATTAGCAGCCTCTGAGGGACTCCTGTGTCCTGCGTTACACTTTCCTAATATAATTACCGCAGTAAATGAACAATGAATTAAATCAAGGGGAAAAGCAGGGGGAGGCATCGGTTGTGTGTCGCTGCCAGGGGTCACCACTCTGGCTCTCTGGAGGGAGGCAATCTTCCCGGCTCGCTCAAGGCTTTTCTTCTCTTTTGAATCTTTTTCTTTGGGAAAGGGATGTCAGCAGGGATGGTGAAGAACCTCCCGGCTCCAGCATGAAGAGGTGCGGGTAAGCACCCGAGTGGGTCCCTGCAGCATCACCCTGCTGTCATATAGGTGCAGTATGAGCTACTCCGGAGACCTCAGAGCTACTCGAGGGATGCAGCAGCCTCTGCGCAGAGAGGTGATTTCCAAACATGTGTTACGATCGGAAACAAAGCCCAAGGCTGGAGTGAGAGCCCAGCACAGGGGCAGCCGCCCAGACTGCCTGCCGCAGGGCAGAGAGCAGGAGTAGAGCCGGGGGTGGATGGGGGGAGATGTCACACCTCTGCTGCGAGACCTTGTGGAAGGGTGATTTGTATTTTAAAGCAGATTTCAGTCACTCAGAGCCACCTCCTCCCCCAGGAAGGCACCATGCCAACCCCTTTGACACCTCTGCTGCGAGACCTTGTGGAAGGGGGATTTGTATTTTAAAGCAGATTTCTGTCACTCAGGGCCACCTCCTCCCCCAGGAAGGCACCATCCCAACCCCTTTGGCGTGCTGGTACCCAGACAGCGCGATTGGAGCCAAAAAGAGCAGAGTGCTCCCTACCCTTAGGCTGCAGCTTTGCAAGAGCAAAGGGGTTTGGAAGAGCTCTGTAGAGCCCCTTCCCTCCCAAAGCTTGCTAGCATCCTTGCTTGTGGAAGAGATGCACTCTGTATTTTCTGCAGGCCTGGGATGGAGCGTGGGACATTGCGAGGCTCTGCCACAGGGATGTTCTTCTGCTTTTGCTGTCGAGGGGTGGGCAAAGCTGCAGAAAAGGGAGTTTAAGGTGTGTTGTGCTCTGGGTGGAGCTGGGGGCTCGCTCTGCCTCGCATCAGGGCAGAGCATCCCTGGGCTGTCCTGTGCTCAGGGGGGGCTCAGGACCGGGAGGTGAGGGCCGTGCCTGGGCTTGGGCATCTCCTGCACTGAAAGGGTCCCTTCATCAGAGCTGGAAAAATCTCCTTTGTGGAAACTGGCC